AATTAGGTCGCTGAACAGGCTCAATGATGAAGTTAATCAACATAAGACATCCCTCAATTGCCGAGAGATGGAGGGTGAACTTGTCAGAAGTACATGAAGATCAGAAACCCGTGGGAGTCTACTTCATGTCTGACCCAGTCACAGAACACTCCCCAAATTCCTCTGTGAACAAGACCGGACTGCACAGTCCACAACGCCCTGAACAGATGGCTGCAATGGCCTTGAAACATCTACTCTTCAAAGCTACCATTTAAGTCCAAAGTGCTGCACATCCAACACTGTTCAATAAGAAAAGCCATGCTGACTGAAAAAGGACTCTGACAATGGTTCAATTAAACATTGGTCTATTGGGCCCCACCTAATCTTATCACCACAAATGTGCCTTATTGGCCACAACTTCATGCATCTTCATGACCGTTGATGGCCACATTATCATACCTACATCTGTGTCAAATGTCCGAAGATACTAAACACTGAGTCAACGGACGTAGGACAAGGCACTAGTAATTTGACAGCATAAACATTGCTTTATCTTCCACAAACAGCGCATTAGGGACTGCGTATCAGTATGCCTGAACCACATCTCAGGCACCAGAACTGTACAGAAGACATAATGATGTTTGGGAAACAACCTACTCCAGAGTTGCCATGACCTTCAAGTACTCACACAACTGACACACAAACAAGGACTTCCACTGTAATTGTTTATTTGCTTTTCTTTCAGTCGCTCTCACAGTTAATTATCTTGGCGTGTGTTCTTTGTCCAGTGACGACAGAGACTGTATGATCAGGATCATGTGTTTTCTGTACCTGGCACAAGCCATATGGTTGATGCCATACAGTTCTATAGATTTCAACTAAACTTAACACCAACTCCCAGCCTGTTTGACTGGCTTCACTGAGTGTTTACTTGCTGCTGAGTATGTTTGTCTTATGGCAAATTATACTTTTAACTCTCAGTCCAAATGGATGTGATTTTCTGACCGATTTTCTCGTTTTCTTCAGATACCACTTCTGCCATAGGGGATTCCTAGTTAGAATAGCACCCCTTCACTTGTCTCCCCTTTGGGATTCTGGGTTAGAATAGCACCCCAACAACCAACACTTGTCTCCCCTTTGGTATTCTCTGTTAAAATAGCACCCCTTCACTTGTCTCCCCTTTGGGATTCTGGGTTAGAATAGCACCACCAACAACCTACACTTGTCTCCCCATTGGGATTCTGGGTTAGAATAGCACCACCAACAACCTACACTTGTCTCCCCATTGGGATTCTGGGTTAGAATAGCACCCCAACAACCTACACTTGTCTCCCCATTGGGATTCTGGGTTAGAATAGCACCACCAACAACCTACACTTGTCTCCCCATTGGGATTCTGGGTTAGAATAGCACCACCAACAACCATCACTTGTCTCCCCATTGGGATTCTGGGTTAGAATAGCACCCCAACAACCAACACTTGTCTCCCCTTCAGGATTCAGGGTTAGAATAGCAATCCAGCAACCTGATCACAAGAGGCATCTAATTAGCTGGAGGAGGTCTGGTTCTATGACTTGGTTCATGGTGCACACTTAGCACCTTGACGGTATGGATCATTGCTCCGAGGTCCTGGTTCTCCCATCAGACAGATTGTAAACTTTGATACATCGGAGGTTCACCATTAAGTCTCTCACTGGAAACATTCTAAGGCTGTGTTTGTAAAACTGTCTTTTAATGTATAACAGACATTTCTTTAAAGTCAGCTTGAGGAAACTGAAGAAATCTATATGCAATGAAATAATGAAGGCAGGCTTGAAGTTTCGGGGCATGTTTATTCCAGGAGCTGCATGAGAGATTAATTAAAGTTCTTAAACTCAACTCAACTGGGCTCATTGGTGGCTCAGTGTCTGAGGTTCCTTGTGAAGACACTTGGTTCTGGGTTTGAATCCTGGCTTGCCCTTCCTATGTTAGACAGCTACCATACCCTCGCTTGTGGGTTTCACAAACAGTAAACATCTGAGACATGCATGACATAAGGCTTTCCGCCCAAATTTAGCTGACACACTTAATATACGTTCAAAGTGGTGTGTTCAACTTCGTACCATACTAGTTCCAAACTTTGTTTTGAAACAGAAAGCATTAGATGCAGTTCCTGACACTGTTGAATCACTCTTGTGAGTTTTCCCAAATCCCCCGCCAATACTGTGGTGTGCAAACGTCAGCTGTTGCACCATAGGAGCGCAATTAGCCTGGCGGACAGATGGTAACTCTCTTCCAGTTCTCATATCTGACTGCCAGCGAAGCCTACCTGACTCAAAAACTTCCAGGAATATGAAAAGACTCTTGGGTGTCATGGCAACCGTAGACAAAAACATGGAGGAAATGTTTCTAATAACGTTGCACAGTAGATGAATGTACCAGAAAGCAATTAAATCTGCATCAGCTTCCCGAGTAAACTGAACTGCTGTGACTTTCTGTGAAAAAGAACACACACTTCTGCCTCAATTCCTCTTGTCCCATTAAGAAACGTTAGAAACAAGAATCGTTTTCATCTGGTAACCGATCTTAACAAATTCCTGCACACTGAGTGTAAACAAAGTATGTTTTTCCACATCACATTCAATCATCCTACATTGAAACATTTGTGATAAAACAGTCTTAAAGGGTACTTTGGCATTTACACTTTCAATTCTTGTATAGAAAACTGTCTCTACTCGCTTGAAGCACTAAAGGGCCATCCAATTGAAGGGGTCAGTTCAATTTGTGCATGTCTACTCACTCAAGTTTTCGAATTTTGTTCAATTTAGCATGAAATAATTATCTAATTACAAAGACATTAAACAAAGTCTACAAGTAGAGTGTGCGAGTGCTGGTGTTTTGCTGCTTTTAACATTATTCTGTAAATAATGTGGAAGACGCCACTTGCTAGGGCACTACAATTTGCTGATCAGACAGAATGTCTCTGTCATTAAAGGTGAACCTTCATATAGCATGCCCATGTAGAAACATTGGTCCTTGTCCATGATGAGAAAACTCTCCACCCAAACACCACTGGAGAATAATGGACAAGCGATCACTGTGCCCATAAAACAACTCTTCCGGGCAATATGATATGTTTTGCACTCCTGTATTAAGGAGTGTCTGCATGTGGGGACTTCGGGAAGGAAAGGATAGGTCCCCAACATATCTGATCATGGAGGCACACCTGATGGATACACCGGTGGCTGCAGTAACTTAACATATAGCCTACACACACAGACACACATGTGTACAGACACATGGACACACATGTGTACAGACACATGGACACGCATGTGTACAGACACAGACAAGCATGTGTACAGACACATAGACAAGCATGTGTACAGACACAGACACACATGTGTACAGACACACGGACACCCATGTGTACAGACACAGACAAGCATGTGTACAGACACACAGACACGCATGTGTACAGACACACAGACACGCATGTGTACAGACACACAGACACAGATGTGTACAGACAGACAGACACGGATGTGTACAGAAACACAGACATGCATGTGTACAGACACACAGACATGCATGTGTACAGACACACACATGCATGTGTACAGACACACACACATGTGTACAGACACACAGACAAGCAAGTGTACAGACACACAGACATGCATGTGTACAGACACACTTGTGTACAGACATGCATGTGTACAGACACAGACAAGCATGTGTACAGACACAGACATGCACGTGTACAGACACACAGACAAGCATGTGTACAGACACAGACAAGCATGTGTACAGATACAGACACGCATGTGTACAGACACACAGACAGACACAGACACACATGCACACAGACACAGATGTGTACAGACAGACACACAGACAAGCAAGTGTACAGACACACATGTGTACAGACATGCATGTGTACAGACACACAGACATGCATGTGTACAGACACACAGACAAGCATGTGTACAGACAGACACGCATGTGCACAGACACACAGACAAGCATGTGTACAGACACACAGACAAGCATGTGTGTACAGACACACAGATGTACAGACAGAGACACACATGTGTACAGACACACAGATAAATATATTCAAAGATGATGTATGTTAAACAACTATTGAGTCAATAAACTTAAGCTGCAAAATGAAGTATAACCACCTCTCATTACTGTAGTGGTATACCTGCCTTATCAACTACCTGTAGCTTACTCCACTTATGCCTTAAAGCAACAACTAAAAGTGGTATAACAGTTAGTTCCTAGCTTCACTGCACAAACCAACACTATCACATAGGGAATACGAGACTTATCACCCACACAAACATTATATCCCTTTGAGCTCCAATGCAACATATTATCCAAATAGTTATTACTGTTGCTGGCTTCACTGGACAAACCAACACTATCAACTGCTTTATCACCTACATAAACATCATTCTCCTTATGTTGTAATGAAACATAATTCCTGAAGAGGCACTACACTTCCATGTAGTATATATGTTTTATCACCTACTCTAGCTCCCCTTATGCTGTAATGTAATACAAGATGCCTAAAGGTGACCATTATATACTTGTACCCTGTTTGTACTGCAGTGATCTAGCACCGCTTTATTACCCTTATGTAATGAGTAACAGCAACTATCATGTTCCAACATTGGGAAGTCAGTAGACTGAGTGTGAGTGAGGTTAGTTTTATGCCGCTTTTAGCAGCATTCCAGCAATATCACGGCAGGGGACACCAGAAGTCAGCTCAGGAGATGCTAGGTGCCATGTCTTGTAGATTTTTATTGTTGTGATGTTTTTTTAAAACATGTACAGTATAAACAGTACTATTTCATGATATTTTGGGGTGTTAGGGATGTATTCCTCCCGAGAATCCCCAAGGGGAGACAATCCTGAAGGATCAGGGATGTATTCTTCCCAAGAAGCATGATGGGAAGACAATCACGGGGTGCTGAGGATGATGTGGTGGTATTATCCATTGATTGTGCCTGTATGAAATAGGTTTCACTTACCAGGATATATTCCAATTGGGGGCGACGGTGTGGTTGTGCCACTCCCCTCCTCCTGGCCTGACCCAGGGTCGTCGTGGAGGAAGTCCTCGTCATCCTGTAATGTAGCTTCTCGTACAGTCCGCTTCACGGTCTCATCCACAAACTCAAAGTCACGCTCCTGAAAAAATGACAAAACTTGTGTAACGATACTGCATTTATGCTAATATGATGAAGATTTTAAATGATGTATGGTTAAAAGGGCAAATAGAATTGCATTTTCCAGAAACTGGAGAAACGTAGTCTTGACTAAGTACATTGATTAAGCAAGAAGACAATAACATCTTCTTCTAATGGCCATCAGCCGCTGTCCTAGGAAATAGTCTACCGGTATCTGAAAGGAAGTATTGTAGGCTCCTTGGGGTTTTCAATTAGGGTTTGTAAAAGAGGCCATATTGACATATACAAATCTTGACACCTGACGTTGTACAGACTGACTGAGTTTGGTTTTACGCCACTTTTAGCAATATTCCAGCAACATCACGGCGGGGGACACCAGAAATGGGCTTCACACATTGTACCCATGTGGGGATTCGAACCCGGGTCTTCGGCATGACGAGCCAACACTTTAACCATTAGGCTACCCCACCGCCCCGACGTTGTACAGATCTACAAATGCGGTAATCATGTTTTGTACCACACCTAATGTTTGTGCATTTGCAACATCTTATTCTATTAATAATCTTGACTTTGTTGATCTGGTATCAAAGTCATACACATTATTAGAGGGTCCAAATCATGCCTTTCAAGAAACCCCCATTTTGATTTAAGAGTTATCATCTTCTGAAGATTAAACTAGATTAACTTCAATGGTCAAGAGAAGATTAGATGTCAATACCACACAGACAAAATGTAATAACATACAAATCTATGTTAATTTTGTGCTGTGTGTAAACATCACTGCTTATCAGGGACCACAAGCGACTATGTCAACCCACACAACAACTGATCCAAGGGCTTAATGTCTATCAAATCTCACTACAACGGATAACAGTGTTCTCTTTCCTTCTCAGCCTCCAGGTCAAACAACTTCATAAAGCAACTAGACACCCATCAAAATTTCCAAGTAGTGGTTTATTATATCAAGTAATCCTTCGGTTTAATCACTAGAAGATTTCATCACAAAGCACTGTAATCCTCAGCACCAGCTCTAATCCTATTCCGACTCATTTTCTTGCATGAGATGCTTCGGTGAGCACATACTATACAAGCTAGGAGAGTACCTGAAGAAGGTATACGAACACCCTACACAGACACCAAATATCAAGTGGAAGGGGACAAATAATCTATTCAGAGGTAAAGCAAAGACCTTTTTAAGTGGCAGTACCCAGCATCTGAACACAATTCCTCTTCATGTTTCGTAAAGCCATTCACGTCTAATCCCTAAAAAGTCCTACTACACACATAAATATGATTGCCAGTATCTGTTTCTCAGGGGTTCTGAAACCTAGGTGTCTGGCAGCATGACCTTGAGTGTGACCGTGAGTGTGGCCCTTTCAAATGGTGACCCCATCTTGACTTCCCCCAAGCTGTATGCTGGTGGTAGAGTCTTTATGGTGTGAAACTCAATATTTGTCAAGAATTATAATCATTTGTTGAGGAATTTGGTTGAAGTGCAGTGACATGACCTTGTGAACAATTCACTTTTATTCCTACAGAAAAAAATAACTGCTTCCAGCAATGATGTGTAATTTACTACATCAACAAGTTAAAGAACCTCTAGAAGTGGAACACAGTGTGTTGCAATAGAAGTCCTGAATTAATTTCCAAAATATGTCACCATCTTTACAACTTTAAATGAATTCTACATCTTACCATAATCTCCTCATACATTATTTCCATGTCATTATACCACATGATTTCTAAAAAATTGTTGTAATGTACATGCTTTATGTGTGAAATGTATCTACATATGGTACCTGCTGTGTTTATATTTGTAGCTTATAGAATATTGCCACTGTTTCTTCATGGAATGCTATGCAATAAAATATTTTATCTAATACCCACCAGTCAGGACAGATTAACAATAGTAACACGTAACAGTGACATGTTCTTTAAGTTCTTTTGCATGTTCAACACTTTTCTTAGATTCCCCCACAACTGGATCACCATGTGTCGCAACACCCACCAAACCAGATTAACAATAGTTATACGACAAAATAAAGTGTTCATTAAAATATTTTGGATTTCAACAACACTTTTAAGATTCATATCATAAAAATATACTTGTAAATTTTAAGATCAAATGTACAATTTTCGCTTCAAACAGCAAAAGATTGAACTCAGTCAATTTTATGAAAATATGCCCATAATATTCATGCTCCCACAGTGATTTGTTCAGTACACATGGTTACTTCTATTTGCATGTATGTATTACCATGATTCTTTCTTAAATGACTGGTATGACACACAAACAATACAAACTTTACTTTTCACTTTCTTAATATTTCTAATTAACTGCAGTGAGGTTTAGCATGTCAACCAAGAGGTCAAACCAGACCCTGACCTTTGACCAAGTCATCTGACCAGCACATGTCAGACAAGTGTTTGAGGAGTGTTCTGGCATATAGTACCTGTTGACAAACGCCCTCTCATTACTGGGGAACAATTACAACTATTCTTGAGACATTCAATCAGCGGGTTTCAAGCTGTGGGTTTTAAATACATCACTTTAAATACTGATGATCTTTAATTTTCTTCCCAGCTGTAGATTAATTGACTGTCATCAATGACAATGGAGTTAATGCATTTGGTTCTATGTTGAGGTTCAGAGGGAATCACAAGGTATAATTACATTAAGTTTGCCCTGTTGGAAGATAAAAATGTCAGACTTGCCTCACAACTAATATCACTACGGTCAAAGAGGGCAGAACCTGACACATGTGAGACTGTAGTATCTTAGTGGCCATTGCCAATTAAATTATTCTTGATTAGTCTAGAAACTACATTGCAATTAGCAAACAGCAAATTATTATCAGTTGCTAATTGTGTGACAAACAATCTTTAGTGACTTCAGGGGCAGTGGGGGTAGCCTAGTGGTTAAGCGTTTGCTCATCACACAGAAGACCTGGGTTCGATTCCCCACATAGGTATAATAGTTGAAGCCCATTTCTGGTGTCCCCCAGTGGAATTTTGCAAAAAGCAGGGTAAAAGTAAACTCACTCACATTCAGTCTACTGACTTCACAATATTCACAAGAACATTTTCTATCCTTGATGTTAGTACTGCAATTCACCTCGAAGTGAAACCAGCTTTTGTTTGGACTGTCACAACAAGTAAATATTTTGTAATACGGACTGTTTCCACTCCGTTTTCTGACAAATTGTGATCAGTTTTCGAGTTCTTTATCTCCAAGATGGTTTGATCATCCACATCGACAGATCTAGAGCAGCAGGGGGATCAATTTGTTTGCTGGTTTGCCCTAACTAGGTGTGCCCCAACACTTTCCAGACATCTTACATATCAACCTATTTCAATCTCCTTTCTGATGTTATATTTAATCTTTGTGACTTGAATTTGTACACGTACACACACACATACACAGAGGTAGACATGCATGCACATTCATTTCCACACATTTTATCTCCATCAGGACGTTTCACAACGAAATATGCTCCTCCACATGTTTTAGCTAACCGATCTCACGTCTCATTATAACCTGTGTAGAAACTGATCTGTTATCTACAGGAGATCCAATGTACACATGTTAAAGTATGTCTGTCATCTGTGACCTGCAGACATGCTTTACGATCTGTTGATGTGATATACGGCATGTATACACCAGGTGATAACTGACACCACAGGGGAGTAATTTCAATGCAAATACTTGCAAGATGAGAACTGGTTAGATAGCAAATGTTGAAGAGTCTGACCCCTTGACCACATCCCACCACCAACATGCCATGTGTACTAGTCAGGGTAGACAAACATGGAGAACATTTCTCCAACCAACCATTGAGTAAAGACTGTTGGCATCTTGTGTCAGCTTTGGCAATCCAAACCCACCAAATATTCCAAGCTGCCATGTATCTCTGACCTGTTATTCCAGATCCTGCCCAAAACACCTGTCATCCAAAATTAAACCCATGTTATAGATAGACTTTATCATAATGACTGCGGCATCTCTCACTGATACGTCTGCATTTCAGGATAAGTGAGTCATGAGTTCTGTGCAAGACAGAAATCATGTGTGTGTTTGTCAGTTTCATAGTGTTAGCCAATTGAGATATCATGCTGCCGAGGGGCGGTGGGGTAGCCTAATGGTTAAAGCGTTAGCTCGTCACGCCGAAGACCTGGGTTCGAATCCCCACATGTGTACAATGTGTGAAGCCCATTTCTGGTGTCCCCCGCCGTGATGTTGCTGGAATATTGCTAAAAGCGGCGTAAAACCAAACTCTGTCAGTCAGTCATGCTGCCAAGTATATCCCACTACCGACTAATATTTGTTGTATTTCCCTGATGCCATGGTGTGCTTGTCACTTTCATAGCATTCAACATGGATATCCTACTACTGGCTCTATGCCGACTCATCCCCTAATGCCTGCAGCAGCAGCAGGCAGGGTAACAACAGGTACCACCTTCTAATGTTTTAGTGTGTGACCTAAACCACTGACCTGCTCCCCACACAGACTTTCCGTTTATCCACTGTACCACAGGGTCAAGAGATTGGGAGAAGTTTCTGAGGGAACATTTCGATGTCGCTAATAAAGTTGAGCTTATGCAACTTTGCTCCACAATCCATGAACCTGTTGTCCACGTTCATTATAGATCTGGATGATATCAAACGATTTAATGACACATTAGAGTCATCTCTAACTGTATATTGATACTCATAGTAATTTGAGTTAAAAACAAATATAGGAAAAGTGTTGAACATAACAAAAACTTGAACATAATATCCTAGAATAACCCATTCATCCAGAGCATATTCCAAATAAGGAGGTATCAGAGTTCATAAAAAATCATGAGTGAGTTGAGTATTCCAGTATTCTAGTATTAACAGTATTCTAGTATTAACAGTATTCTAGTATTCTAGCATTAACAGTATTCTAGTATTAACAGTATTCCACTATTCTAGTATTAACAGTATTCTAGTATTAACAGTATTCTAGTATT